TAAATCCCCTTCAAAGGTATTAGTTATTATGCAAAATACAGGTATGGAAGGTTATTTAAGTAAATTCTTCAGAAGTAATTCAGTTATTTATTATTGCAATATCCATAGTATTTTAAGAATTGGATAGAGTCTTATCTATCAGCAACTCCACAAAGTGGCAAATCCCAACGAACAAAATATGTTTTGATAAATTTGCCTATAAAAATTACCCTATAAAATTTGAATCAAATTCGTCAACTGGTATTGGAGTTATCACCTCGACAGATGGACAAACAAACAGACGGACAGATGAATTCGTCATATCTATATCCCCCTCCATGTTTGTTCCGTGAGATAATTATAACTGCTATTGTTTTGTTCCTTGGTTTAATTGTCTATCTATAGTGTCTATCTTAACTAAATTTGGAGTTTTTGACATCAACAGATCACAATTTGAGCATATATCAGATAGTATGATATGTGTGAACACGAGGGTTTTTGGTCCTTTACCAAACAGATTTTTTTTGCCAGGGAATCGAATACCTCATTTTTATGTTGGTAAACTGTACAACTCATTATGCACCTTATCCATATTTCATAGTGTTGAAAGTGATGACACTGGTTAAAATCTTCATTGGGATTTAAATGATCATATGATAATAGATACATATACTGATCTTGACTTCTATAGTGGCTGTACTTTCTTCGGTCATTCATACAGTTAAGAACTGTGAGTCTTCATAAGCAAAATTCATTCACAATTTGTTATCCATTTATTGTTAACCAATGATAATCTTACAATTTTTGAGTAAACAGTAGAGCTTGGTTGTTATCTCTAGATTTTTGAAATTATTTGACTAAAATGTCAAAGAGTTAAATAACAAATATATAATTGAAGCCTCATTAGGTTTGAGTAAGTGAAACCAGTGAACTGAAACAGAAACATGAGGAGACATGTGAATGGCTCTAAGATATTGCTCAGCTATTACAAAGTACCGGTACATTGAATAATGGACCAATTCATAAAACATGAAACCTGACACTGAGTAATAATTGATTTCTCTTCAGTCCATGCTATCCAAGCCTAGTATAATTTAGCCTAGGCGTCATATTCACAAGCCAAAGACCTTATTCTAATATATAAGTTAATGCTACCCACGTCTAATCAATGATAAAAATACAGGGCAGACATTTATAGTGATACAAAAATGAAGACATTGTTATCCAACAATAGAAGATGTGTCTATGATTTTAGAAGTTCACTTCCACAAAAAACTTCAGAAATCAATAGCTGAAGTGAATGCAGTCCAATTGCATGCAAGTGAACTACTTCAATAAACTATCTTTCTTATTCCCTTAATCTATTAACAAGACCAGCCAATTGGGATCAGAACTAGGATGGACTGTGAATCTTGTGAATTGGGCTCCTAGGCCGAATTATCAACTAAACAAACAATTAATGCACTTAAAATTTAACTATGACATCATATTGTGGCATGCCATGGTAATATATTAGCATTTCTAATCTGAACAGCAGCTCGTGAAAGTTGTCTTCTTCAAATCAGTTGTACTATAAGATCATAAATTACAGGTAAACAACTGTGAAATCCCAAGATAAAATATTCATCTTTAGCTTTTATTAACATTTATTATAATCTGTTCCAGAGTACCACTGTCCATGTTACCAGAGCAACCCATAACACAACTTTAATGTAATGGTGATAGCATAAAATTACCGGAGAAATATAACAATACATATTTCATGTTTTCAGTAATTATTTTGTAGTAATGAGTTTATGAATTTTGATACAAAAGAACATCAAATATTACAAGTAAACTTTACATGATTTCTACATTATCAAATGATCTTTATAATATAGGGTTTGGAATAGAATTTTGAACAGTATCTACAAATAACACACATTTCTATACATATAAACTAATTGTGGTGATGTTATGGTGTTAAAAACTGGCTTGTCAACCACACATTTTTCAAAGTGCTCCGAGTTTTGGTAGAATGAGCATCAAAATATTTTAGAATATTATGAAAGGGGTTTTCAATAATTCAATATAGTAACAATTTCACATGAAACCAAAGCAATGGAATGGGATATTTGCCAAATATCAAGAAATTAGGTAACGTTATATTTATTGGTTCGGTTGTACCAAATCAATACACTTCCATTTCTTATTGACATCACAGACTTGAAATAGTATCAAATACAAGCATAATAGAAACCCAATGCAATAATACAGTGTTCAATTGATTTTTCTTGTGGTACAGAATATGCCATATCTAAAATACTAATTTGGCAGCAGAATCAGCAGATCCATTTGACCAATAGAGACCAAGGAAAATGCTGTGAAATTAAATTTCATTTGACAGAGAAGATTGATACCCGATAAGATATTTTGGATATAAATGTAATGAACTGATAGTAATTTGATTTCTTACTCAATGTGCAAGTCTATAAGCTATATATGATTCCAGATCTCTGACTACAAATGCTCCAAGCCCATTCAATTACCATTCTTGCACCATATAAGCAGGGATTCCATATAAAAATTTGCTAACTGATGTCAAGTACCTAAGGGCAAAAGATTTCAGAAAATGGTTTTACGAATATATTGCAAATAAGTAACTAAGTATAGACTGTTTAAGGTAAAAAATGCACTACCCTGGAATGAGGTATGAGCTGAAAGTAGGCATGATTAAAAATGAAATAATGAAAATTTTGAATTTTCGTACAACAATATATAATATCAATGAATCAACATGCCTGAAAGTCTACAGGTAATCTGGGTATTGGTATATGAATACCAAGCAATTTTCAATAATTCATAATTTACTTAACTGTGTCATCATTATAACATGAGTATTTGTCATTTAAGAACATTAGCAAAAATGCACTATTCAGTGGGCGCATAATGGTGAGTCAGGTTATTGTATAAATTGTGGTAAAATGCTAAGGAAGCAAAAGTATAAGCCAGAGCCAGTATGTATATTACCAGTACGTATGCCTATAAATGGATATGGGTATAAGTTTGTTGATTGGTGGATGAATGGATGGGTGGAAAAATAGATGAGTGGATGATTCCATCAATTTAAGAAACACAGTAGAAAATTGAAAACCACAAGGAAGGTGACATAGAACCTCTTTTAAGAATCATAATAAAATCAATAGATTTCTTTAACAACTTTCTGCATGTGGTAATACTAGCATAGTAATAAATGTCATATGTTTTGTGGTTGCTGTTTTATTATAAATAGAACTGCTAGTATAACAGAAACCCAGATATAATTAAATAACTTATTACAACCATTATGTCATATCATCATCATTAGAGGTGTAACTATAGATGCATTTCCGTTGTGAATAAAAGATTAGTGACGTATGTATGGCAGGAAGAAGAAATAAGGTAATACTTAGTGTATCCGTTTGTCGTAGTTAAATTTACTTCAGATGACTGTTTAGTAGTGCTATATGGGAATAGGTAGTATTTGTAAATGAAAGTTTCATGCAGGAAACTTTCAAAAATATATGCGCCTGAAGAAGAAAGACAATGCGGTCTTGTCTACAGGTTTCAAGCCAAACCTCTGTCAATATGATTCTAGTTTTAGGTTACTTTTGTTAATTAGCAATACACCAAAATACAATCATTTTTTACAATGTTTAATGCATTACTATTTTTTATTTTGATGTATCAAATAGTTCTTGAAAGAAAAACTTAATTGCTTTAAGATGAGTGTTCCCCGTGTTATTTCTCCATTGAAAAATCTCATGCTATCCATTGGTTTCAGTTCATTTTGGATATCCAAATTCAGTATCTTTCAAGTACCTGGAGCAATCAACTTTTCCTTTTAGGAAATCGAACATGTCTCAAAGCACATCCTAATTATGCATTCAACAATATAATAAAATGTTGCATTTCTGGGGAAAATTAGGTCAACATTCTTGAAAAGGTATGTTGATTGGACCATTGCCCCTTCAATATCAACAAGGTCTGATTAACTAAATTATCATTATATATACTTTTCTTGATGATAATGAATGGATCTAAAAGATACACCCATGTTCATGATCAGAAAATATTCATAATTCAAGTTAGAATTGTTTGAAATTGTTTGTGATAACCTACGTGCTCCTTTGATACAGTATTTGTGATTTGCTCTAATTTAATTGTGTATTACAAAGCTATACTTCAGAAAGATCTCAATATTAACAAAAAATCCTGTTTCCCGACCCAAGTTTAGAATATATGGAAGACAAGGATTCTGACAGTTAGTTTTACTTGTTCATAATAACCTTTTGAACGTTAAAGATAAATCTAGTAATAAACATACAATTATGTATACCTGTCCATGCATCATTGATACCTAACCTGGGACACATTCTGTTGAATCAGTAAATGGCAGTAGTAGTTTCATACTGAAATAAAAATGTCATTCTGTGATATGATTTTGTTTAAATTGTGATGTTGATTAAATGTATAACAACGTTTGGATAAATAATAGTGGGCAATAATCAGTGTCTGGCATCTAAAATATTGATAATTAATTACTAAATAATTGAAATTAAATATAAAGCAAGATGCTAAACTAGTACAAAAAATTCCCCAAAGAAACCTACAAATGAACTGAACAGTATTAGTAATGCCTGGACAGAGTTTTTTCAGGTTTAAGTGTTAACTCTAAACGTCTTACATTTACTAGGAATGAACTTCTCATCCTAACTTGTTTGTTTTCTCCCAGTGTTGTCTTAGGGCTTTCTGATAATTCACTTAGCATGACGATTCATTCTGGTCATGATAGAAATCTTGAAATAAGAAAGACAAGATTCAGAGTCATTTAAATGTAATGTGGAACATGTTAAATGCATAGGAAATTGTGATTTGATAATCAGCTTATCACAAATTATTACAAGAATCAAAAACTAAATTAAACCATTGTTATATGTTTTAATGTAGAAAAGATATATTCAATAATAATAATTGATATAAACATACTTTTCTGCTTCCAGGTTACAAAAGACCGTTCAATTCGTCTGCGGGTCATGCCAGAGCAGAGCAATGATTACAGGGTTGTTGTCTTTGGAGCTGGAGGTGTCGGGAAAAGCTCACTTGTGTTACGGTTTGTCCGTGGCACGTTTAAGGAAAGCTACATTCCAACAATTGAAGACACATACAGGCAAGTGATCAGTTGCAATAAGCAGGTGTGTACGCTGCAGATCACAGACACAACAGGGTCCCATCAATTCCCTGCAATGCAAAGACTCTCCATCTCTAAGGGGCATGCCTTCATTCTTGTCTACTCAGTCATCTCCAAGCAGTCAATTGCAGAGCTAAGTCCCATATGGCGTGAAATATGTGAAATCAAAGGTGATACATCACAAATTCCCATTATGCTTGTTGGTAATAAATCGGATGAGTTATCACGCGAAGTATCAACAGCGTTAGGTATGGAGTTAGCCAAAAAGTGGGGATGTGGGTTCTTGGAAACCTCTGCTAAAACTAATCATAATGTAAAAGAACTGTTCCAAGAACTGCTACAGATGGAGAAAAGACGGACAATGAGTCTTCAGTTGGAAACAAAGAAATCAAAATCCCAAAAAAGGAAAGAGAAGTTAAAGGGTAAATGTTCCCTGATGTAAATTATGAGCTGGGATATTCCACATAAACACATGAAATGTGAAATAATACTGTAAATATAACTCATGTACATATTGGATATCATTAATTCAAGAGATATGATTGAAAACCAAAGTTGAAAAACAAATATTACAGAAACTTAAGACAGTAAAAACACATTATTTATGATACTGGACTGTACATAGGATTTAATGGCAACACCAGAACACAGATAGGCTGACTTTATATGTTTCATTTGCTAGGCTACTCGATTATTGATGGTCCTGGAAACCTGAATGCACATTATCCTAGTTATTTGTTTTTAAATGACTGCTTTATCAAGAGCTTTTTTGTGTTTACATATGCTTTTTCATAATGGCTGTTACTTGACACTTTGTATGACAGATTTTAATATGTTTCTTATTGTGCAAAACAATGAAATAACAAGGCACTAACATGCAAAATATCACCACCTGCCATTTGTTACAGATGCCACATGCTAACCACCAAACACCGAATACCAAACACCAAACTTCAACCACTGAACATTGAACACTGTCCCCCAAAAAGTTGGAGACTATAACAATATGTCACCCCTTCTGGTGAAGTAACGACTGTAACTGTAATAGTCCCTCTGGAAACCAAATAATAAGTGATGTCTGTTAATTGTTAGGTTTGAAACAATATGAAACAAACAGGACATGAAGATGACATGTCGCATTTCAGGCACTTCTTTTTAATTTATTGCAAATGGTAACAAAATGTTACTTGTTATTTGTTGTCATGGTAACCGATTTTGGCAGATATGTGTTGGAACTCATAACATGTTTATATATGTTCACAGTAAAAAGTCTAAACAGTACTTTTTTGGAAATTGTAAGAATTGTTGCAGACACCAACTGCCGACTGCCGACTGCCAACCGCCAAACACCATCCACAAAAAAGGTTGGAGACTATAGCAAATACAAAAAATATAATATGTTACAATTTCTGATGGTGACATTATGAACTGTCCCAAATGTGAATAAACCTTAGCTTTTCACATATTTGATCAAATATCTGATATGGGATTTTTGAACTATACTAGTATCAATTCTATTCCCTGTTTATTTCCCAGGAAAAATATGTTATTATAATGAATAGATATGTATTCATTGGATACTTAAGTAATGTCATGTTTCAAAATTGTTCAATCTAACTACCTTATCATAACAGTAATCTCAGCTGTATACCTTGAAAGATAACAGATAGATTCATTGATTGTTTGATTGATAGTTTATCAAAAACAATTTTCACACAAGACTTATTATTTATTTCACACAAGACTTAAATTTATCCAAATGACTGTGGCACATTCATATCTCAGATTAGATTTTATGACCATGGAATTTGGTGTGCCTTTTAGACTCATGTATTATTTTAAAAAAACCTACACTTATGTTGTAATCGCTCTTTACTTTGCTAAGGACATCTTCGACTTGTTAACATTTTTGAATTCTGTGTGTATAAAATGTTGATTTTCCAAATCTGAAAATAACTGTACATGTGATTCTTTGAATTATATTTGTAATTGGGGAAACGACAAAAGACATAGCATTTAATTGATTTGATTAATTGTTATTGTAATTACTATTTTCTGATCTGTATTTAATTTGTTATATTTGAAACACTGATACACCTCTTAAATTAATTCTCTCGGACATCCTATTGTATTGTGCAATCATAGGCATAGCTAGGAAGGCAAGAGAAGGCATTACTGCCTCACCAAATTTTACAGAAAAATGAATGTATCAATTTTGCCTCACCTATTTAAATTTGCCTTGCCTATTTTAATTTGCCTCACCTATTTAAATTTGTCTCCCTAAATTTGCCTCACCTATTTTTAGTTCCTAGCTACACCCGAATGATACAAACATGAATAATACAAATAAAAGATCATCAATAATAGATGATAATTTCATAAGGCAGTTCTGTAATAAATTTATCTGGAGCTACAAGCTTTATCAATTAGGTAAAACCTATGCTGAATGCTTAAATCCCTAGAGGCCATAGAGGGGGATATAAGCAGAGTTTAACTATTTTCAATATGACATATCAATGCCCTACCCATATATATCGTAAAATGGTTGATGTTATAAACATCTCTACAAAAAGGATTTTTCACAAAAAGTGATTGGTGTTTCAACTAGACAACAGCAACGCCAAAGCGTAGCAAATCCCATCGAACAGCCATGGCTGCCATTTTTACAAACAAAGTATATAGCATAAAATGGCAGCTATTTTTCAAAATGGCCACCTTCTACCAAAAGTGTCATTAGACAGTGTGCCATGCTTATAGTATTCACAAACCAAATATGAAGAAAAACACTCTACTACTTTTCGAGTTATAAGTATTCACATACCAAATATGAACAAAATCTCTCCACTACTTTTCGAGTTATAGTCAAATACGTTAAAATGGTGGCCATTTTTCAAAATGGCCGCCTTCTACCAAAAGTGTCATTAGACAGTGTGCCATGCTTATAGCATTCACATACCAAATATGAACAAAATCGCTCCACTACTTTTCGAGAGAGCAAAAATCGTAAAATAACGAGTAAAGGCCGCCATTTTTCAAGATGGCTGCCATGTGCTTCTTTAATATCTACATTTCTAGCTTCTTTTTTTTGGATTTTTTTTTTTATTAAAAATATTTATTCTCTAAATTAAAATCAAATACATAATAACACTTGACACTTTTAATAAGTGTATCAGTGTGATAACATTTAAATAGTAATCTGAGTCACATGGAAATGAGAAAAAAAGAACAATTAAAAATATTTACTCAGTCAAATGAGAATAAAATTGATTACAATTAATAAAATGTACATATATGTTTGTCAATAATTTAGTTCATTCATATTTTGATATCATATGAATTTTAAAATTTTTTTTAAAACAGTTAATGGAAGGTGATATTTTCAAAGAAGTTGGCAGACTATTCCAAAGCTGAGCACCTGAATATTTTATTTTTTCACGTGAAGACAATTTTGGAATCTTGTCTCATGTTCGTGATATATTATGTTTGGAGTAAAATAATTTTCAAACATGTCAAAAGGAAAGCCAACATGTTTTGTTGTGTATTGATAAAGAAATTTTGCAACTTCAAGCTTATGTATGTCAAAAATGTCTAGGAAATTGAGTTGTTTAAAAAGAGGTGGGCTATGTGCTAAAAAGTCAGAATTAATTTATTAATGTCCTAAATAATTTTTTTACATTTAAAACATATTGCTATTACGGTTTTACATATTGCACTAAATCGGCACTAAAATGGCCACCATTTTTAAATGAGTGGCCATTTTGAAAATCGGCTTTCAAGCAGAACATCTACCCCCATCGGGTATATGTGTGCAAAATATGAACAAAATCAAGCCAACAGTATTTGAGTTATTGCCAGGACAGACGGACGGACGGAAGGAGGCGTTCCCTATATCCCTCCGAACTCCGTTCAATGAGATAAAAATACAGTACTACACAAAATACCATAATATCATAAAGAATGATTTCCTCTTGCACAGAGATTCTACATTAAGTTAATGACTCAGATGCGAGTAGGTAGTTACCAATTTCACCACAAGGTGGCTCGTTCGGGTCAGATAGCATGGCGGGTATAGTAGAAAGTTCCTTTTTCCTTAATATTCATTTGTTTTAGTGGTTCAATTTTCATATCACCCTTATGTATCTAATGGGTATTCAAATTAAAATATGTCCAGTGTGTACTGAAGATTTTGGTCCATGTTCAGGATGTACTGTTTCTCCTGTATATGACCCTAAGACTTCCCAAATGCACGCTAAATATGATCTAAACTTGAATTTCCTTATCTGCAGGATTACGTTCATGTGTAAATGCCATCTAGTGGCAATTACTATAAGTGATTATAATAAATGAAAATTCAGGACAGAACATGCAGTTTTATCAATAACAGTGTTTCCCTTTGAAATATGGTTAATTTAAACAATAACAAAGAACTTCATCAACTTCATCGGCGAGAAAGGTCACAGTTTAAAATTAATCTCAGAGTACAAGTTTTTTCGCAACATGCGCAGCCCTCTTATTACATTCAAATGATCCGCGCTGCATAAGCACAACTGGAAGTAGACGGAAAATGTAAGTTGTTGAACTATTTTAAACTTATAGCAACTGTTAACTATTTTATTGGTTTTATTGGTCCCAAATGTCCGGTCCCGAAATGGATAATTCCCATACCGTCCCCAAATATTTTGTCCTTTGGCATCCGTACATGGGGTCTATGTGGAATCTCCCCGAACTTGAAGTCACATTTTCAAAAAAAAAAATTTTAAAGTTGATAAACAATTTTTGAAACCATATTTCTAGAAGTACTTTGATTTCATATATGACACCACTTTGACTGAATTTTGAATATTTAATGACGTAAATCAAGATAATATCTACTCGCATCTAGCATATTCGAATGTGGCAATTTATGACCATAAAAGTAAAAATTTGAAAAAGTTAAATTCAAATGGCCATCATTCTGAAAATTATGAGGAATTAGCCTATAATAGAATTTAAATAAATAGTAACATGGATACAGAGAAGGTTTCAATATTTTCAATATTTAACAGTAGGAGCCAACAAAAATTTTAGTTTTCTGCATAAAAAATTTGGTTGATATATTTACTTTGTTTTAAAAGTAAAATCATAACTTACAAATGTGAATATGAATATGACTGGAGTCGTTGAAGATCTCATTAATTTATTTTTCTCACAACATCATAATTGGGTACTAACTGCTGCAAACATTAGAGAAAATACACCTACTGGTGTTTTGCTTTAACATGAAATTATGATGTAAGAAATATTTTACAACAACAACAACATATTTTACAAAGACTTTATAAGTAAGTTTTAGCCACATTGCACCTTGAAATGAAAACCTAGAAATTATCCTAGACCCAAAGATTATCCCCACTGACATTATGTTAAATAATGTTAATATGATTTAGTGTTTTGAGGATTACAATTTTAATACATATCACAATCTGCATGATCACAAGATCATCTAGGTGTATGCCAAACTAGATGAAAGGACCCACGGTTCTGTGCTCACATAGGGTAGAACCTGCTTTTTGTCAAATTTTATAGAGTAAACACAAAAAACTGTAATTCCCAGAGCTTTGAAATCTTCAGAGTGTTGCACATACAGCAACTACTACCACTTGTTCTACTTCAACAAAGTGTTTGATATTTACAGAAAATTTGAGTTTTTGACGTCAAAATCTGCAATTTCTTAGAAACCGGGCGAACTTAAGAAATGGCGATGATAGGTCAAACAGGCATTATGGATATGCAGAGCTGTCAAGTGTCCCGCGAATGGCGGGATTATCCCGCGAATTTGATCAAAATTAGGCTAATTCGCGTGTCCCGCATTGTCCCGCGAAGTCCCGCAAAATGTGGCTTTGACCTCCGCGAATTTCCGAAATTGTTGCAATCCCCTATATTTTGATTATCTTATCTTATATAAGAAGCTAAGTTTTTGCACTTTTGAGGAGTAAA